CCGCATCCTCATTCATGAGAAGCAGGCGTCTTAAGCCTCCGGGGCACCACGACATTTTATGGTCACCGTACCATCGATATGAGGGGTAAAAATTTATAAAAAAAAAGTAATATAAAAATAGATAGATGACAAGGGCAAGGACTGGCCGCAAAAAGCTTTACATAGAGAGAAATGGAAGGAGGGTAGGGAGGCCTTTGCCCTGCGGTGGGACGATCATGGCTAAAAATAAGTAAAACATTTTTTTTATATAAAAATAGACGTTATTCATAAACAGATAATGCCTAAACTTTGCCTTTTTATACTTTTTTATATTTATATTAAACTTATGCCGAATAAACGTATTTCATTTCATTTCATAAACCGATAGTATAGTAGTGGTAAGTATTCCCCATGTTACTAACTGTCGATTGTGGTTTAGAATAACACACAGGCTACTGTTTCCCACAGGACCGCGGGTGAAACCGTTGGCAGAAGTTAATTTTTAATAGTAATAAAAAACAATCTTGTGATTGCTGTTTCAAAATAATTGGACCAAAATAAAAATAGTTTTATGAAGGATTTTTCCTGAATTCCTGAAGGTATTTGTGGGTTTCTAATTATAAGTCACAGTAAACATGCGGTTAACGTACGTCATTGAATTCTTTACATTAATCAAATTATTGTAAATACACAATATTCTAATACTGTACCTACAGAAAATAATGTAAGTCAATATAGGTACACTGTTAATCCGAAATACACAAGCCTAACTAAAAAATTAAACTGTTTGTGTACCATAGATATAATAATAAAGATGATCTGTAAGTTTTTAACTTGTGTGGTTTATGCTTGTCTTACAAGCAGTACTCTCATAAGTTAATTTAATTGTAGGTCTTCTTTTTTTTTTGAGGGGGAAGAAAATCATCCAATGTCTTCTCCCGCCCGGGTGAGGCGACAGGGAGTGTCAGACTCTTACTGAGTAAAAACCACCCCGTTCCTACTCCTGCACTTCGAGCCGGAGCCCCGACTACCCGTTAAGTCTTCCGCGGCTCCGTATCGGCATCAGCCCTGTTGGGCCCCATCTGTGGTGGTCTGATTGCTCCTTGAATTGTAGGTCTAGGTTTAGTGTTTGTTTGGCAATTTGAGAGAAATAATATGTAAGTAGGTACACACACCGACCTAAAATGAATCATCATTTTACTTGTAAACATAGGTAAAATTTACGTGTATAAAGCGGCATCCTCTATGTTTTGTCCAAATGTAATAGTGTCAAGTTTAACCGATGTTAGACTTAACATGACATGCATGTGCCGATGCACATGCATGTCAAATTATATAATCATATTATAATGTCAAAATTAATGATGTACATAATCAAAAATAATCATAATAATAAGTCAATCAGAATGTATCTATTACAATGAGTAATAAAATTAATTATTGTACATTAAACTGTCAAATACCAAGCGGTCACCGGTGACCGCAACCTATTGTTCTATAATTGTGTCTGCAAAACCGGTACTCGACGAGTTAATTATATATATTTTTGTGCCTCAACCTAATCAAGTAATCAGTCACTGTAATAGATTTTCCAAAAAGTTGAAAAATCTATGCTTCTATGCGCTACTGAGCGTCCGATTTGGAAACTTCCAGCTGTATGTATTATAATTTAAAGTCAGTTAATAATAGGATTATTTTATAACAGGTAAATTTAATTATAAAGTAAATCATTGAATACATAAAACGGAAAAATAACATAAATACCTAACTAGATAGGTATTACCTACCTTTGTCATAATATTATAGTATCCTGGTAATACTTATGTGGAAGAGGTTGAGTAGGGAAGTCTGGCATTCGTAATGATGTCAGATAGTGCCATGGTAGCCAGCAGATAAGAATCATTTTGTAATATTTCTGTAAAACTTCACAGGGGCAGAAAGACTGCTAAGGAGTGGAATTCTTTGCCAGAATCTGTGTTTTCTGTAGGGTATGACCTAGCCCGAGAGAATAGGTTGCTTGTGTGTCGCTGTGCTCCATCGTAGACCGCATCATTGTTTACCACCAGGCGAGGTAGTGGTCAAACGTCGGCCCATTAAATATAGGTATATAAAAAAAATCTCGAGTGGCGTTGCGTGGTTGCTCCGGGGGGGTCCGGGGGCTACGAGGCTGGCCTAATAACAGCCAGTTTCAATAACCTATATGTCTGTAGATTTGCTTACTAGAGATAGAAGTTTGACATAAGCTCCATACAAAATGTGTAGGTACAGATATAGGTTATTGAAATTGGACGTAAGAGGACCGGGTGCCTCCTTCAGGTGCGGTTGGTGGCCAACGGCGAGGTTTTAGTGTGGTAAAAATCCCACACTGCCTAGTTTTTATCCTCAAAAAGCTAGGCACTTTTTGATGGTGACCGAAGACGTAGCTTCTTGATGCAGGTCGTCCCACCAGCCTATTTGAAAGTTATTAGGGGATGGGAAACATAGGCCATGTTCAGCGGTGTGGACGTCTTACGCCTGATATGATGATGATGTATAATATGGGTACCTAAATGGAAAAAATTTGAGAAAATTCTCGTTTCTCGTAGCGCGAAGTTTGGAATATTGTACCCGGAATGTAATATGTAGTTTGACAATAGACAATGTTGCGCACCAATGGCTTACCATCAGTTTGTGTTAATCATTAATTTATATCACTAATTGATGTCCGATTGGTGGCTTGTTCGTCCGCGAGTCACTTAAGGGGCCAGTAGAATACCAGCGCGAGGCCCTGTCTTGCACATGCTGAACTGGTCCCATTTCACCGTAGACTTGGGACATGAATATGTACCCATTAGTATTTATAAACTAACACTATAATCTAAACATGTCACCTGTTTAAGCGTGTGATATGTCGCGGAGAACCTAACGAGTAACCGGGGCTCCGGCTCGACGTGCAGGAGAAGGAACGGGGTGGTTTTTAGTCTGACACTGAGGCGGGAGCAGTCATTCGATGATTTTCCTCCCTTAAAAAAAAGCGTGTGATATAAAATTCCTTTTTCCTTTTGTTTCTGTCTTTATTTCAATGCAAAATAATCTTATCTACCTACTTATGGCTCACCTTTATATCTATCTGTATATGTACAAAATTACGTTTAAAAATAGCCAAATGGCTATTGAATATAAAGACTATAGGTCAAATATCTACCGTCATTGAAACAAACTGCATCGGATTCGGATGCGCTATGCGCGTACGCCGACCACACCTAGCCACGTCACGGTCAGCACGTGTGTGTCGCTCATCTCTCTAAACAATCGCCTTCTGTATACACCGGGTGAGTCAAAGGGCTCAAGGATTGTTGTTGAACAGAGGCACGTGTGTTATTAAATGTTATTAGATAATAATTATAATTCTGTGTGATGTGTTAGAAAGAAAGAAATTAAACAAAATGTGGGATTTCAGAAATTGTTTTAAAGACTGCAGAGATTGCTAAAGATAACCGACCGACTGCTGTTTACCTATTGTCAGTGTTTCAGGAGCGATATTTCCGGCGGTATTTCCGAACCGATACGACCTTCAAACCTTCAAGAAAAGAGCCTATTCCTTTTTAAACTGTCAAACACCAAGCGGTCACCGGTTACCGCAACCTATTGTTCTATAATTGTGTCTATAATGACGGTACTCAACGAGTTAAAAGGCCGGCAACGCACCTGTGACTCCTGCGGGTGTCCGTGGGCGGCGCTGATCGATCACCATCAGGTGATCCGTCTGCTCGTTTGCCTCCTACTCTATAAAAAAAAGCTATCTGTTTACATCCAAACTCAAGGATGTCTAGAGGTGGCTCTATAAATATATCGACAAATGAAGTCGGTTAAAAACAGGTATTGTCAAGAACCAAGGGAATAGAATTCGCCGTTGCGACCACTCGATGAACAAGACAGCTAAAGTAATATGGCATAGATGATAATATTCAATAGAGTAATTAGAAGTGTAATATGAAGTGTCTACGTATAAGTTCTTATCATTCTTAGGTGACGTCACTTTGTATATGTATAAGTATTTCTTGTCTATTAATAGAAATTAAATTAATGTCATCATAGCGAATTCCGTACATTGTTTGATTTTATTCTTGTTTGTCCTCTTCCAAGTTGCTTAAATCAGTGTCTGTCCTAAGAATCGTAACAGTCTTTACTCATATTTGTTTGGCGAGTGGTGACTATCGTAAAACTGCGACCAGATAAAGTTGGGTAGGTACCCCTAAGCTTCAAGTTGTCAGTGGCCTAACTTCGATCCCTAAGCAAAGTTGCCAAGTGTTAACAATTAATTTAAGTATTATAATATTTGTGGTTGTTTATCACATTTAATAAATATTAGTTTGACTGTTGAGTCCTCAAACCATAAACAATATTTTATAATAAGAAACTCCTTTGACACGAACTACGTCACCACAAATATTTGTAGCAATTAAAAATGAAGTAGGCTGGTAAGAGGCGGGGTATTTTAAAAAAAGAATGAAGAGGGGGATTCGAAAAATGGATTTTACTGTGGCGGGACGCTTTTGGTTTCTTTAATAAAAAATATGATTTATTTAAAGTAAAACAGAATAAACATGATTTGTTTTTTAACTAATAAATAATGTATATTTTTTTAAAAATGTTTTCCTTTTATTTATGTGGTTTTAACACAGTTGACATGATACGTAAACCCCCGATTAAGACGAAAACTGTTGTCTTATAGCAGTCGTGACGATCAGTCATTTTCCCGATGTTTTCTTCTATTAGGATCAACATTAATAGAAACAATGATAGTTATCATATCAGCTACGACAAAACAACATATTTATTGAACACAAAGCCATTGAAATAACAACTTCCTCTTCAAAAACCCCATCACAACCTAATATTATTATTTAATGAAACTAAAACATTATTTACAGTGTAAATACTATCTGGATATATAAAATTAAGGAAAACGTTGACATTTGTAGGTAGATACTATTGGCAGGACGCGATGAAATCATTGCCTTGTATTAGCTCATGAGGTAAACAGCTTCGTCAGTGAGTTAAGTGCAGTGCATGATACTGTCCGTGCTGTCTGTGTCGGTTAAAAACTTTTAACTGTAAGTACCTATTAGCTAACGGTTTTTTTTTGAAATCAGTGGAGGATTTTGTTCAGCAGGTTTTGAAGGGCGTGGTCGGTAAGATTGTTTAAATAAATTAATGTTTTTTTTTTTGTAATTATTTTGATTTTTTATGGGATAAGCCGGTGAATGAGCAGATGGAGGTGACTTGTTTATTTATCAGGCATCACTATTATTATTTATTAAGTGTGTGAGAGCCATGCTTCGACAAGAATGGGCCGGCTCGACCGGAGTGATATTACGGTCTCACAGAAAATCGACGTGAACTAACGCAAGCGTTGTGTTTCGTCGTGTGAGTGAGGTTACCGGAGGCTCAATTACCTCCCCAATCTACCAGAATCTCCAACACTTCTCAAATTCCTAATTCTCAAAAGACCGGTAACACACTTGGAACGCCTCTGGTGGTCCAGGTGTCCATGGGCGGCGCCGATTGCTTACCATCAGGTGATCAGCCAGCTCGTTTACCGGCTTATCCCATAAAACAGATTGGTAGCTAGTAATTTAGTATGATTACTATTCTTAATCACTACATAGTATAAAACAAAGTCTCAATCCGCCGTCTCTCTGTCCCTATGTATGCTTAGATCTTTAAAATTACGCAACAGATATTGATGCGGATTTTTTAATTGATAGAGTGGTTCTTAAGGTTTATATGAATAATACATGTAAATTGCACCCGTGCGAAGCTGGGGCGGGTCGCTAGTACATAATACAATCTTTCTATTTCTATTCTATATCAATTTATTAATTGACCTAATTATTAGTTTTTGACTCATCATTTATTGATCTTAGATTTTTTTTCTGCTTTTATGAGTCAACAAATACACGATGTTTCACTCAGAGATATCTTGATTGCTATTTTATGATGACTAACGCAAAAGTTCCCAAACTACGTATCCATCTTAATTTTGATATGAGTGTACCTATAGTGAAGCCTAACAGTTATATATACTCAAGTATCAGATAGGAATCATTGAGTTCCTGCGAATTTAGTGACGGGTTTGAACATGTGACGTCATACAAATGTAGATAAACGTCTGTCTTATATCCTAGTGCCCTTGTGGATGTAGGCTAGGTAGCGTATTTGCATAAGTACCTTATGCAATTAAAAGAGTGTCGAGGACCAGCCTAGCATATTTTCTTAGGCTGGTCTCTACCAATTTTACTTACGACCATTGTGATTTCTTTTTTTACTATTTTTGAGTGACTCTCATCATTATGTGAAATACCTTAGTATTTAGTTTTTACCATAACTATCATTTCTATCACCATTTAAAATCACAACATTTTAATATCGCCTGTAAGTTAATATTTTATGTAACTTGTTGTTTCTTAACTAAAATAATATATATGTAATACTTGGAACTATCAGCAGGGAATTGTATTAAAACCTTAAATTGGCCACATACCTACAATAATAAGTAAAATAATAGTAGTCTATGTTATTAATAACGCCAGATTTACCAGGAAAACGTGCATAGTTTGTATTGAAATAATGATATCAACGGCAACGCTTGCTCAGATTCCTATAGGAAACTGGGTGATTCGTTTTTAATGATACAATATTTTATGTAGTATAAGCAGCAATGAATTTATAAATGGTAGTTAATTTTATTATTCTATGTGGCCAATCTTATAATATCTTCTGATTTATTTCGTTGCCAAGACAGTTATTTATGTCCCTGCCCTGAGACACGTTGGATTTCAGTGTTCTGGTGTTTTCATGGTTGTATCCACCGTAGATCCTGGCTTACAGGAGTTGCAGCGGTTCTGGGAGATTGCGGCAGGTTTGTCCAAACCCCATATATCCCCAAGCGGTCACCGGTGACCGCTCTCCACTGACTACATTATAGACCTTATTTCCAATGTCTAGAGACTACTATTGTATGAACAAATTTAGGGGATGAATTTCAACGGGTTAAAAAAAGACAGACACCCCTCTCGCCCCACCCAAGGCAGGAAAAACTATAGATGATATTCCCTCTTTAAAAAAAACAAATGTCCAGATGTTGATGACGATGGTGTTTGCAGGACTAGCTCACAATGCCGTCCCTCTCGCTGAAGATAGTGCTGGACGAGGGCGCTGTGACGCGCAAGGTGAAGTTCAATACTAATATGACGGTGAAACAGGCGCTCGCCGTCGTCAAGGATAAGGTCATCGTGCCTGATAAGGGGAAAGGTAAGTCATACTTAAGTACTACCTATATCTAGGTCTCTGTTAATGAATCTCTAGTACCCATTGTTAGTAAGGACCGTGGTGCAGGCTAAATATGTAAAGCAAAGAGTCTTTAATGTCGAGTTTTTGATGTCTGAGATTTGGTTGTCCTTATTCAATACGTATGTACCCTACATTTCAAAGCCGAAAATCTATCCTTTCTTCAAAAACTGTGAAGAAGTAAGTAGGTAGCTTATGATCATTTTCATCAACCATCCCAAAATGATCTCTTAATTTAACTTAGAGCTACTTAGCATGAGGGGGCACAACCTACACCAACCCCTAACCTTTACTTTTAGATGTCACTTATCTTATAGGTGAAAACCAAATGTCCTTAAATATTACCTACTTTTTTTTAAAAAAAACGTTGCTCCACACTCGTATAGTCGTATTTTCGACACGAGAAAATAAAAACGTTGCTTGCTTGTATTTTCTCCTTATTTACAAACATACAAGTTCACATATACATGACACCTAGACCCGGCACAACAATTTGTGGATCACACAAAGAATTGCTCCGTATGGGAATCGAACCCGCTACACGTTGTGCGGTTGATTTAGGATTCTTTAAAATTCAATAGATGTGGGTGAAAACAGCCATTGGTCTTTCCGACAATAACAGACAACATTTATTATCACGCATTTATTATTACGACTTAATGTTTGAAAGGGTAAATCGTTTCAAACCACTATAGGACTCGTCGACTCGTAGTAGAGTAGCATTGCGCCACTCTAACTAACGAGTTCCTAAGCTGCACGCTACAAACTGACTCTCCTTCTCATAGAATATGCACTATTCCTCCGGTCCGCCGATGATGACATGACGGGCGTGTGGCTGGAGGACGACAGGACCTTGGACTACTACATGCTGAGGGACGGAGACTCCCTCGACTACATCTGCAGGATCAGAACGCTGAGGGTCAAGCTACTGGATGGTGAGAAAAGTATTATTAGATTATATATTTGAAGAACGATGGGCAGAAATAAAGTCAGATACAAGGTGGATAGATGGTCTGATAAAAATCACTGCGACAATAGACGAGATTAAGATCATACCTGTCCTAATTAGTAGAGGCTTTGAATACCTAGATATCTCTTTTTTTCATATTTATTTTTCGGTTTCATTACAATAAATGTAAAAAGAATGTACTTTCATAAAACCGAAACATGTAGGATTAAATTAATAAAATTGCCCATCTTTTTTAATTACTCACAAACCGGAGGCACCAAACGTTGCCACGTTGTCTATCTGAGGCCTTAGTACGAGTCTGTTGTACGTTTAAAATAATCGAAACGAGACCGCATTCGACGCTCTGATTGGCCGGTTTCAACGAACCCACCAATCATAGCGCCGTACGCGGTCTTGTTTATCAAAACGAAAGGAATAAAACTTTAAACATAAATCAGAATATTGAATTTAATTTCTATTTAGTTTTATACCTTTTAGTCTGTGGTAGACTTTGCAAAAGTCTGATTCTCTTTTGATGGATTGAGTCTAATGCCGGAATACTGAAACGTTACTCCATTTTATGTCGTGCTTAAATATCGTGCCTAAATATCGTGCCGTCTCTGTCATTTTACTAAGAATTTGTTAAGACTGAACTATACTTAAGCACGACTTAAAATTGAGTAGCGTTTGAGTATTCCGACATTAGACTCATTAAAGTGCGTTAAGTAATGTAAGTATCATACTCAGTCCCCGATCCTGTTATTTTATTCAGACACGGTGAAAACACTTCAAGTGGATGAGGCGAAGACGGTGGGCGAGCTGATGATGAGCATTTGTGCCCGCATCGGGATCACCAACTATGATGAATATGGATTGGTAAGTGGTTTTTACTTATGTACATGTTTATGTGTAGGAGTGCCAAGCTTCGGCACGAATAGGTCGGCTCTACCGGAGTGATACCACAGCTTTACAAAATACCGACGTGAAACAACGCTTGCGTTGTGTTTCGTCGTGTGAGTGAGGTTACCGGACGACCAATTATCACCCCAATCCCCGAATCATAAACAATCCACAAATTCCTAATCCCCAAAAGGCCGGTACCACTAGATGGTCCGTCTACTCGTTTGCCGGATTATCCCATAAAAAGACTTAGAATCGTCTTTTTACGTTAATCTATTCTTATGACCTCATAAAAATCGATTCAGGCATTTAGGCATAGAAGTGTCAAACAAGCCAACTTTTACATTTTGTTATATTATAGGTACTTATAAGTAATTTTTTGACACTGCATTCGTTACAAATTATCATCCTTGATATTATCTAAAATATCTTCTGTCTCCTCACACAGTGTCATGAAGAAGAGGAAGAGACAGAAGAAGCGAAAGAAGTGAAGGAAGGCACGGGCACTCTGACGTTGAAGAGGAAGCAAGCCAAGCAGGAGCGTGATGCTGCACTGGAACAGCTCAGCAAGAAGCTGAAGACTGATGATAATGGTAGGATTTGATTGATGTTCTAGTCTTTTTGTAGCTTAAAATAATGTAAAACCTTTTATCCCCGAAGGGGGTAGGTAGAGGTCCATGTATGTATTGCATGTAATATCCACTGTTTACCATTCTTTATATGGCTGCGTGCATAAATGGTTCAAAGATATTTTGAAATCTGAATAATAATTTATAGATATCGTCCGAACGTATATTGACCAGATTGGCGATATATTAAAGAAGGGCCAAATTAAAAGTACCCTTAACCGATGAGCATGCATGAAAAGACTGATGACTGTTGATGAAGCGAAGGAGGTGTGAGAAGCGTAGCAATTGGGGTTCCATAGTCTGTGCCCTCACGGGCGTGAGAGTCTGAATGTATGTATGTATGACAAATAACATGTCCAACCCGGGAATACTTCTAAGTTAGCGCGTTATTTTTTCCCATAAAGCACCCAAAGGTCAGTAACTCGTTTGTAACTCCTTTGGTGTTCATAGGTAGCGCCAATTGCTTACCTTCAGATAATCCATTAGTTCTATTACCGCTCTAACTAATATTCCATTTGTATCCAGTGGAATGGCTGGACCTGCATCGATCTCTCCGGGAACAAGGTATAGACCCCAAGGAGACCCTGCTGCTGAAGAGGAGGCTCTACTACTCCGACCGTAACGTAGACTCCAGGGATCCAGTCCAGCTCCATCTGCTGTACGTGCAAACTAGAGACACCATCCTCAATGGCACACATCCAGTTACTGAACAGCAAGGTCAGTGGATTTTGAATCTTGTTTTAAAAGCAATAAGGTTTATTTTCGTGTCTTAAAATTTTATAAATTATAATTTATATTGTTTTATTCGTGTGTTTTGGATCTTATTGCGAGATGCTATGGTTTATATTCGTGTGTTCTTGTGTGATAAAGGTGGTTGGTTACAAGACGCTACCAAAAATTAGAAAGGGGATAACTATCTGAGTTATTTTCCTTTCTTTTGGAACATAACGTTACAATCTACACATACTTTTATGACTTATCACATTTATACATGTAATCATTATTAGTAGGTACAGTAATTCAACAGGTAGAACGTCGTGAAATTCTAGCAACGGCCTAGTGCTGAAAATCAGCGCCGCGACTTGAGCTATCACGCTCGGGTCACGGCATATTTAGCTGAGCACTGGCCTTTTTGCACCGTGTACACTGTAAATACTGTTTTTTTTTCTTGTCCTTTTGTTTAATTTTTGTAACGGTGCAAATAAATGTTTTATTTTAATCTTCCTTTCAAAAAAAGTGACGAACAAAAACTGTCCCTGGACGCCAACGACCCAAATACATAAGTACACGAAATCAACAATTTGATTCCCTATTGGAATCCCTATTTATTTCTTAGTTTGCGCGGAATTTGGGGCTTGGCGTTGAGGGCAGCTTCAAGTGTTTTTGCTTTGGCATTAAAAAGGATAATGTTAAAAATCTACATCTATATGAAAAGAGTCTGTGTTTCCTTAATGGTATAACCTGGGTGTCTTTAAGGCTCGAGATAATAGGTTTGTTTTTGGGTAGTGCTCCATCGTAGTCCGCATCATCGCTTACCACCAGGCGAGCGAGATAGAGCTCAAACGTCGTCCCATCTTATATAAAAAGAAATATTGTGGTTTTATACTGGTAATTATTATTAATTTCAACTCTACCTTGACGAACTTCCTCCATTTTTAGCTATTTTAAACGATCTTATATTGTTTTTAACTTTAGTATGCTTATTATCATCTTTATAAAGTGTATTATCGTCTCGCTAATGTCGAGGCGAACGTTACACGACACATCGCGTCGCCCTACTGCGTTGTCAGCGCAGCGCGGCCCGATGCCCGATACTACAGATACGTATGGGTACGATAGCTTCGTGCCAACGGCATGCCTGCAGTCCAGGTTTACATGGCGCACGACAGTCAATTATGAGTCCTCTCCTACCGATTTGAATGCAAAATTAAAATCTAAAAAGTATGATATTGATTTTTAACTTCAGTTCTTTGGATTTCTTTTTTAAAAGTATTATTATAAATTGTGTAATTTATGTAATTAAGTATAATATATTAAATTAACATGTGCGTCTATGTGTGGGCGATAAATCCAAAAACTACTAAAACGTTCTTATATCTATGTTTAAAATCTACGGAAATAATTTATTGAAAATAGAAACGGATTGTCCGTTTAATTTCCTACATACATAATTAATATAGTAATTATGGAATACAGGATAACTTATCTAGAAATTATGTAGGTAAATAACTCTAAACATATTCTAATTCAGTTTCAATACTTATATGTTTAATCTCAATATTTTTACATTTAATTTTTTCAACTAATACTATGGATTCAACACAAGACCGTTGAAAAAAAAGTGCAACATTAAACCTTCGTATCCAAATAAAACCTCATCTTCTAAATAGGTATCTAAAATTAAAACAAAAGCCTAATAAAACCTTCACTATTTAAAAATAAATTCGATCTGCTATAAAATCATTTTCAACAACATTGGTCACCATAGAAACCTAACATAAAACTGTGCGAGCGAGAGGTAACGATACCGACCGAGACACGATGAGGCCGACGCCGACGGCCGACGAATCGAGGCGAGTCGACGACACGCGTCACCGACCAGTGTACGCCATGATGTTCAACGACAACCACGATATAACACTCATTCGCCTTGTCAAACAAAACCCTGTGCTATACGACACAAGCCATGAGAAATACATGGAATTTAACTCACGAGAAGTCGCCTGGCAAAAGATAGGCGACGCCTTAAAAAAACCCGGTAAGTAATATTTAGATTTCACGATTTGTTATTACTATTTGTTTTCATGACATCACGTTCGAGTTGCGATGAGATGAATGTGAGATCGTTTTGTATGTGATTTGAATTAACGTTCATGATTGGTAAATTGTAATGTCTTAGTGATGTTTAAATGAGGGATAGCCATGATTCGACACGAATAACAGAAAACCGAAGTGAAACAACACTTGCGTTGTGTTTCGTCATGTGAGTAAGGTTACCGGAGGCCCAGTCCCTCTCAATCTCCCCAATTTCTGAATCACCAACAACCCTCAAATTCTTAATCCCCAAAAGGCCGGTAACGCACTTGTAACACCTCTGGTGTTTCGGGTGGCCATAAGCGATATCGATTGCTTATCATCAGTGATCCGTCTGCTCGGTCACCGGTTTGTTTCATACAAAAAATGTCTGTGTTGCATAGAATTCAATGTTCCTTTTTATTAATTTTTCATTTTATTTCAGCTGCCGACTGCAAATTACGATGGGTCAACATAAGAGATGTACACAGAAGAATACTACGAAAAAAATTAATGGACCCGACGAACCCATCGAAGTCATACAAATATGAGAGCGAACTTACTTTCATGAAACCTTTCTACAAAGACATTAATTTTGTCCAAACAGGACTGAATGATGAAGAGGAAGATGAAAGAGGACCCAACTCCTGGGTCGACCCACCCGAAGAAGAACATCAACGCAGCGATGAAGATTCAGACGTACCAAAGAAGAAAATTAAAACTAGAAAGAAAAGGTCCAAGAGGAAACAGGAACCGCATTTCGAAGAGGTTACTCACACGGTCCCTATGTTTAATGAAAGTATGACCACAGAGTTAGACGCGTCAGATTCTGTGGACGCGTTCTTACTGAGTATCGGATCCACATTGAAGACTTTTTCTCCATATCATTTGAATTTAGCAAAGAGCAAGATTTTCGCAGTAGTTCAAGATCATGATTTACAGCAGATTGTAGAACGTCAGAAACCTTCGACTGAAGGGTCTGAAATTAAAATTGCAACTACACAAAGTTACTATTCAGGATAGAACTTAATATCCTGAAATCAACCTTATGTTGTAAAATACAAAAGTTATTTTCGTATTCAGATTCCTACTAAAGTAAATACATTCTGAAATGTTGATTATTTTTTGTTCTCTCAAAGAGTACGTTTATTTTACTTAGTATTGTGAATTTAAATTATGAGTTGTGTTATAATTTATTTAGGTATTTATGATATTATAAGTGTAATAATAAGTTTTTTCCTGTTACGTGGAACAAGTGACTTAATAACATTTAGATAATAATTCGTGATTTTGTTGCAAATAAAGCATTTAATAATGTCAAATGAGTATTATACAAAATAATTTTATTAGCCTATCAAACCTCAATACTAGAAATTGATAAAAATCGATAATTTTCTAGTATGTATTATTATTTAGTAATCCTAAGTATACTTTCGGCCATAAAATTAATTTTTATTATTATTCTACCTTAATATATTGCATTTCGTTACACACAAAGTCCTCTTCGAGTTTCCAAAGTAGTGACGGTACAATGACCGGTGGATCGATAGCTCACGCACACATCGTCACGTCGCCCCGTCGGAGCGGCCGCACACTGCCCGACACGTGACGACTTCCCGCCGACTTTGTCGCATTCATTTCTTTAAGTTATGCGTTTTTTTTATTCTGTTAGTTCTAAATATAGAGGACTTGGTTTTGTATTTTGTTGGTTATTTTTTCTTAGTATTACCTTACTTATTGTTATGTTTTGAATATTGTTAAGTTAAACCTAGGTACCTATTTGTTTTTTTTTATGAGTAAGTACCTATAGATAATTGAGTCGAAAATAGGTACCTAGGTACCTAAGTATGTCTGGCTAAAACATATAACTAATATTTACTTAGCGACATTTTGACACTAAAAGGAAAGAAATGGTTAATAAAGTAACAATAAAAAGCTAAGTCATTATTAAAAATCAATAACCAATCGAATTGATTTTAATACCTACCGCATGCACATACCCACTTACCTAATTCCCACAATCTAATCACTAAAACTTGAGTGTCATTAAAATGATTACGTACGATAATTACCTTCAAGTAATCTGGAATGCGCGCCGTCCCTTACAAACCGGTCGCGATACGAACGGATACGAGTGCGATACGTAACGAGGCCGCGACGTTGCCGCTCTGGCGCTGTGGAACCCGCGCAGTCGCGACGTCGACACGAGCCCGACACGATGCCGCTGCCGTTCAACAAAAATTTAGACTTAAAATTACTAAAATTAGTCAAAGAAAATCCTATTTTATACAACACTAAGCACTCAAAATATTTGGATTTTGATTCGAGAGAAGTAGTCTGGCAGAAAATTGGAGACGCATTAAACCGGCCAGGTAAGTTGCTTTTTTATTTATACCTTATTTTCTGAGTGATTGAGTTCATACTTGAATGTTTTTACCTGACCGTCGGAAGAGTATTGTTTTATAGTATCAATTTGTTTGATATGTTTATGACTAGGTAGTACTATCATTTGTTAGACACTTGTAATCATTTCACTAGGTTTAGATGTTACTTGTTCTGTTAGGCGGTGAGCAGAATTCTTGCCTTGTAATATAAAGTCGTAGAATAAGAAACTTTATGTCGAAGTCGTTAATGTTGATAATTCATTGTGATAATGTTTTTCTACCGTTTTAACCTTTGAGCCTTTCGTTACATTGTTTTATTTGAATGAATGTGTTATCGTGAATGCCTAATTAAATAAGTATGTTGATATTATGAGTATATGCCGTACCTAGGACCTACCTATATAGTAGATACTTACTGAAATATTTCCGATCAAATAATGTAACTATAGTCGCTTCTTTCTCTCATGGGTTCTCGATTAACTATGTGACACTGTGACATACACTGTCTTCCATTTTATACTAGTTCTATTTCGTAGAAAATGTAAAATAAATATTAGCAATATTTAACTCCAATTGATAAATGGATAAAAAATATTTAGATTTTAATTTTAAAATTAATATCTCATATCAGGAAATAAAATCGATTCATTTGTGCTCATTATCGATTTATTCTTGTATGTAGATTTTATCGGTTTGATAATTTAATAGATATTTGTGAAATCATTTGTCAGCACTTTCTCTAGTAAAACTTCAATGACTGCACGGTTGGCGCGGTGGCTGGGCAACTGGCTGCCGCGCAACGTGTCGAGGGTTCGATTCCCGTACGGATCAACTCTTTATGTGATCTACAGATTGTTGTTCCGGGTCTGGGTGTCATGTGTATGTGAAATTGTATGTTTGTAAACGCACCCACGACACAGGAGAAAATCCTAGTGTGGGGCAACGTTTTTTTTATTTAAATAAATACCAAACGTCATCCACAAAAACCAAGAGGTCGCTAAGTGATCAATACTTCTAAGCACGGGTTTTAAAAATATTCTCCATGTCATACAAGTAGGCTGTATTATGCTATATGATATGAAGTTCATATCATCTTCATCTATCTATATACATAAAATTCAAAGGTGATTGACTGACTGACTGACTGACTGACTGACTGACATAGTGATCTATCAACGCACAGCCCAAACCGCTGGACAGATTGGGCTAAAATTTGGCATACAGATAGATGTTATGACGTAGGCATCCGCTAAGAAAGGATTTTGATAATTTCCACCCCCAAGGGGGTAAAAAAGGGGATGAAAGTTTGTATGAGACTTTGTCAGTTTTAAACCGATCGGGTTGTAATTTGGCATGCAGATAGATGTTATGACGTAAGCATCCGATGTGAAAGGATTTTGATAATTTCCACCCCCAATGGGGGTAAAATAGGGGATGAAAGTTTGTATGAGACTTTGTCAGTTTTAAACCGATCGGGTTGTAATTTGGCATGCAGATAGATGTTATGACGTAAGCATCCGATATGAAAGGATTTTGATAATTTCCACCCCCAAGTGGGTAAAATAGGGGATGAAAGTTTATATGAGCCTTTGTCAGTTTTAAACCGATCGGGTTGTAATTTGGCATGCAGATAGATGTTACGACGTAGGCGTCCGCTATGAAAGGATTTTGATAATTTCCACCCCCAAGTGGGTAAAATAGGGGATGAAAGTTTATATGAGCCTTTGTCAGTTTTAAACCGATCGGGTTGTAATTTGGCATGCAGATAGATGTTACGACGTAGGCGTCCGCTGTGAAAGGATTTTGATAATTTCCACCCCCAAGTGGGTAAAATAGGGGATGAAAGTTTATATGAGCCTTTGTCAGTTTTAAACCGATCAGGTTGAAATTTGGCATGCAGATAGATGTTATGACGTAAGCATCCGCTTTGAAAGGATTTTGATAATTTCCACCAAGGGGGTAAAATAGGGGATGAACGTTTGTGTGAGGCTTTGTCAGTTTTACACCGATCGGGTTGAAATTCGGCGTGCAGATGGATATTATGACGTAAACGTCCCTTTAGAAAGGTTTTTGAACATTCTCACCCCAAAGTATGATACTTTGCCAGTTTTAAATTGATCGGGCTGAGACTTTGCATGCATAAAGTTACTATGACATAGGTATCTCTTTAGAAAGGATTTTGATAAATTCCACCCCTAAGGGGATAAAATAGGGAATGAGAGTTTGTATAAATCTTCTTAGCCGTTGAATTTAGAATCATTGAATCTTTTTGAATTACATTCGGTAAAACGATGATTTGGGACCTGGGTAACGTATGATAGTTTTTTCACAGATGTCTCACGAGAACGGGAACTATGCGTCAATGCCCCAGGACTCTCTAACTCTTAACCACTGAACTTATTCTAGAGAGATTCGGTACAACAATAGTCGATAGAATAGTTTTTATTACTCAAACCTTACGTGATCGGGCACTGTACTGGTAAGATCCCTGCGGGATTATTTATTTATTGAAACTACGATAAATCATTTCTAAATAGGTAAATCTTACTTGGGTACTGAATTGATTCTGGTTAATTCTGTCAGAAGTCATTAATCTACGCGGACGAAGTCGCGGGCAACAGCTAGTTGTTCATATTATGAACAATAGATAGGTACCACGGCCTCACGGAAATCCGACGTGAAACAACGCTTGCGTTGCGATTCGTCGTGTAAGTGAGGTTATCAAAGGCCCAACACTTCCCCAATCTGTAACGCACTTGTAACGCCTCTAGTGTTCCGGGTGTCCATGGGCGACGCCCATTGCTTACCATCAGGTGATCTTTCGGCTCGTTTACCGGGTTAGAAACATTGATTAGTTCATTATTTGATCGGAAACTTTTTGGTATCCATCTAATTGTATAGTGATTTACCGATTTAGTTACTGTTTAAATATCGTAAGCACTTACTACTTACTAGAACCGAAGGATACATTTTATGATAGGATACTTATTGTTTACTAGAATCTAGAATTGTAAATCGTTAGGAATATTATGAAACTTAACTTTAAATTGAGGTACTAGGCAGGAAATGACTTAGCTACATTAGTACTAGTTACAGTTATACTATAACAAAACGCACTAATAATATTTCTATATTTCCAGCCCTCGTCTGCAAATCAAGATGGATAAACATAAGAGATATGATGAGGAGGAAAGTCAGAGACCGACTCCGAAACCCCAACGCATACAGCTATAAGTACAAATACGAAGACGAGATCTCCTTCATGATGCCGTACTTCAGAGAGTCTTCCTCAACCAGCACCGCCGAGGAGTACCCTGAATTCCTTGACGAGCCCTCCGAAATAGAAATGCCATCCGAAGTCTACGTGGACGAGACCTTAGACTTTGAAGAACCACGAGAAACGAAACCTGTATTCAGAAAAAGACAGACTGATGAAGCGTCCGCAAATTCTTCTAGAGATTTCTCAGATCAAATGTTTCAGGAATTAAACCCTGCTGATCCTTTAGACGTGTTTCTTCTGACTATAGGTTCGACGCTAAGGAAGTTCAGCCCTTACTACCTGAACCAGGCGAAGAGTAAGATATTCCAGGTGGTCCAGGATTATGAGCTGCAGCAGATTGTTAATAAAGATGATCAGACCCCTGGCAGTAGTAGTGATAGATAGTGTTATACTTGTCTTAGACTTTTTACAATAAATACTATTATTTTTTTATATGTTTTATCTGTTGTTTGATTTTCGTGTTAATTATTTATGAGAGCTGAGTCTGAGTAGCATACATTTGCCACCCCCTTCTCTTCCCGCGGGTGTCGCAGGTAAGAGATGAATAAGATGAATAAGGGATTACGCATTTAACAGAGACTGGGCAGCAACGCTTCCTAGCAAACCTGATCATATAAACTATGATCTCCATAATTGCCTGCCGAACGTAAAGATTATGGGAAACGCCTTTAATGTGAAGGAGGTCCATAGTGAAACAGTGGGTTGCCACGAGCTACTGATGTGTGATGTGTTAATAGGTGAATAAATGGCTCCTGTAATATGTTATTGTTATGAGTTAAAATCGCCAGTGTAGTATCATAAATTCATGATATTATGATACCATAAGCAAATGATTTTTAAAAACACTCATTATTTCGTCATTGGTTGAGTTATCCTATAAACGAATAGAATAGTATAGAAAATTGTTTATTTCCCTAGTTCTTGTGTTACAATAATGTCCACAGGTTGATGGTGTGTTCGACCTATGTGGTTGTGTCAGCTACTTACAGTCTACCTGTTTGTCTGAGAGAGATCTATATAAGTGTCGTGTAGTGTGTGCTGTGAGTTTGTTAGTTTGTGTAGATAAACCTAACTTATAGAAATTAAATGTGTAGTTATAGTTATATTGCCCTATCATATTAACTCGTCGAGTACCGGTTTTGTAGACACAATTATAGAACAATAGGTTGCGGTCACCGGTGACCGCTTGGTATTTGACAGTTTAATCACTGACTACAGTTTATGTGATAGCGGAGCCGTCGCGCGTCGTTCACTTGTTGAGCAACCTACTCCTGTCTTTCTTTGGTACATATTCGATTTCACCTAGTCTAGTATTAGTAAGAAGACGGCTGTACTGTCCGATACTGTGCATATCACGAAGTCGACGTAGCATGTCCCCGTTTAGGTTTTGCGCACGTAGGTGCCATGGATCCTAATCGAGTATGTCCCAGAGTAGTAAGGTCTCTAGGCGTCTTGGGAATTGTCCGCTTGTTTTATTATCCTATAATAGGCGGTGGCGATTTATTAACAATTTTTAAATCTACAATACGCAATAATATATTGCTCAACTAGGCATTTAAACCCGACAGATCGTGCGGAGTTTCCTTCCTGCACCTATAACTATTGTTTCGTTTCGATGAATATTTGTTCTAGTTATATGTATGTGCTTCCAAACATAAATATTGCATACTTAATATGACGTCTTATAATTCCCGAAAGGGTAGGTAGAGACACATTATACTTTTTTATGTTTGATTGACTGACGTGTGACCACTATCTCGCCTGGTGGTAACCGATGATGTGGCCTACGATGGAGCACGGTGACGCATTAGCAACCTATTTACTCGGACCTTGAAGATACCCAGGTACCCCCTTCAGGAAATACAGACTCTGGCAAAGAATTCCACTCCTTAGTAGTAAGCACAAGGAAGCTTGATGCGAAGCGCTTCGTGCTTGTGGGTGGGACATCTACCTTGAATCGGTGATACTTAGCCGATTGTCTTATGGTATACTGCAAACTGCAACACCTTCACTTTTTACAAATCACGAATTACGTGCTATATTATTGTGAACCCCTTGTCCGGAATCGCATAGGCCGGGAGGATTCATTAAATGATATTCCCCCTTCCTATTCAGTTTCTATCCAAGACTATGGATCCAGGTATTTCAAATTAAAGCTGGTTTTTAGACTTTAGGGCGCGCTCCAGGAGTGTTATCTCATGCTAAGGATATGGATGTTGGATTTTAGTCAGTAAGAGTCTGACACTCCCTCTCACCTCTCCCATTGCAGGAGGAGTCATTGGATGACTTTCCAACCCCAAAAAGATTGTCTATCAAGCACAAATGTAGTGTAACATATGTTTCTTGGTTGTAGCTGTTCAGTTTGCGGGTATCCAGTGCCAGGTGCAGTTAGGGGACTACCAGGAGAAGAAACACAAACCAGGCTTTATTGAGAAGTAAGTAGAGAACTACTAGGACTTTATATATTATGAGAAAGTTATTTTTATCTACCGATTTTCATGACCGCTTGTGTGGTACTTGTCTAGTGTTGCAGCCTTGCGTTCTATTGCGTCGGTGTCCATGACAGGCACTGGGGTCTACATCAGGCGATTCATTTGCACGTTCAACAACATTTGACATAAAAATACCGAAGACGATTGAGCAAAATTATCATAATTTTGTCTAGTTCATTAGAATAAGTGACTGCACGGTTAGCGCTGTGGTTGGGCAACTGACTGCCGCGCAACGTGTCGCGGGTTAGATTCCCGCAAGGAACAACTCTTTGTGTGATCCACAGATTGTTGTACCGGGTCTGGGTGTTATGTGTATGTGAACTTGTATGTTTGTAAACGTACCCACGACACAGGAGAAAATTCTAGTGTATGGCAACGTTAAAAAAAAATGTACACGCCCTTTAACCTGGAAGGGGTAGGCCGAGGCGCATATCACGGCACTTAATGCCACTGTGCAGTGTTACACCCACTTTTCCTATTTTATGTTAGATATGAGTTCTAAGTAATAGAGGATGATCCTTTTGCCATATAGACTCCGTGCTACTATTGGGATTTGTTTTTAAAAAATCCACCTACCTGATTCGGGAATCGAACTCGAGACCCCTTGCCCAGCAGTTGCACTTGCGACCACACGGCCAACGAGGCAGTCTGATAAAAAAAAATATAATTATAAAACACTTCTCTGTCTCAAAAACTCCCAGTTTCGAAGAGTACCTGCCAGCTCAATACCTGAATGCATGGAACATTGAGAAGAAGATTGTGAAAGAGTTCTCCCAGCACCAGGGGCTGAGCGAGCTGGAAGCCAAGTTCCTGTACATCAAGACTGCTAGATCACTGCCTACTTACGGAGTCACCTTCTTCTTGGTCAAGGTATGGTTATGGCAACTGATTTAGGTAACTATACTCTACTGGTCTAGTAATTTTAGTTTTAACCCGGATTTTTAGTTAATTTACGTACCTTAATGTCTCTAAATATTTCTGATAAATATAGCTCATTACAAAGAATGTTTGCTTTCATAAGACCACATTTTCAAATTGTATGTTGCTCTAGGAAAAACAAAAAGACAAGAAGAAGCTAGTTCCTCGTCTGCTGGGCATCAACTCCCACGCTATCCTCCGGCTGGATGAGGTGACGAAGGAGATCCTGCAGGAGTGGCCGCTCACTCATGTAAAGACGTACCACGCAGGAAAGTCGCAGACCTTCACACTCAACTTCGGAGATTATAGGTTTGTTAGATTTAAAAGTAAAGTATTTAATACAAATTCACTCATTTTAACTTGCTCTCATCCAATAATTCACTAGTCCACCAATAAGCGTCTTTTCTGCCTACCAAGAGATTAAAGATAGCTGATGTGCTCTCTACTTGAGGGGCGCCTGCAGATTTTCCAAACGCCATTTGACCTTCAACTAATTTGCTCATAGTCTAGCTACTTATCAGTCTTACGACTTATGTACGTATCATACATGGGACGTTGCCAGTATTGATAGCCCATCCATTAATCTAGAGGACCATGTGCTCGTTTACTTTATGTACCTCTATGTACCATAAAAATCATAATAATTAATTATTTTGCTTTGTTTCACAGTGACAAAGAGTACAGTGTAAAAACACAAGATTGCCACCGAATCCGTGACATCTTAGAGGGCTACATCGACATCATCAGGCGTCGTATGTTGGCCAAACCGAGCCGGGATCCTGGCGAGTCCATGGCTATCTGCCATGATAACATCCAGCAGGGCACGTGAGTAATATTGTGTTGACTAAAGAAAGGTCTCAGGAAGCCCCTGAATGCTAATCGCTTCCATCCAACCAGCCAATCTGGAACTGGAAGTCATTAGGGAGATCTATTTTCTTCAGTGGTTGCTTGTAGCTGATATGATGACGATGATGAATGTATCGTACGTAATACCTTTGTTGCAGGAGTCATCTAATCCAACATGTGTCCAACAACCCATCCAAGATAGTGACCGAGACATTTGTCGGTCCCAACAAACTTATGACCAGTGAACACGGTGAGTTACAACAACAACCGGTTAACTGCACAAACCAAACACAGCTTTAACTTTATAACTAGGCAGGCAGATGCCATATTAAAGTGTTTCTATAAATGTTCCTACTTATAACGTCCACGCATAAGGTAGACAGACAATAACCTAATGAAGGCCACAGGTAGCCGCAGGATGCAGGTCGTTTCCAACCGGCCAATTTGAAAGTAATTTGAGAAACCTATGTTCAGCTGTGGACGTTTTATGGGGGGACATGATGGTGATGAAATCTCAGCTTATAATGAAGATGATGATGATAATACATCATCTTATTTATTGTCCATATGATTGTCTCCAGGTTCTCAGCCGCAGTCCGGTACAATGATCACGACGGTGCAGCAGCTGGTGGTTACTGACCATCTCCAGAACCAGCAAATGGCTCTGGTAAGTACCGCAGTAAACATAATATCGTGAAGCGGAACTCGTTCTACAAAAGACTGATAACGTACTTCTATCATCTCCAGTGTTGCCTGCCATAAATACCCACTCATGATAGGCTCTGGTCATTTACCATTAAGAGATCTACCTGCTCGTTCACCTCATAAAAATAACAGTCAACTGTGATTTTTATAGAAAGGAGAGATGCCACTCCGCAGTGACATGTCCAAGGACTGCATCAAGAAACTGAATAAGATGAATTCCAACTCTGTGAAGATAGTAGGACTACTCACAGGTAATGTCATACTTTTGGTTCCGACGAGGTAAGCTGAGGCAAACATCATGGATTGGAACTATCTCTTGTCCCCAGTTATGTTCCGTACCGTGTATCTTGAAGATAGCCTATTATTAAATATGACCTTAATTTTTGAGTCTCTTGCTATTGCTGTTGTGTTGAAAAAGCTGGTTTATTTTTTTTAGATCCCACGGAGCATGACTATGAAGAAATCCAGAAGATTGTGCGAGCTATGAAAGAAGATTTCCCAGATATCGATAAAGGTAGGAAAATAGTACCTACAATTTATTAAATAGTATGTAGGTATTCTTTTTTAATTGGTGATTTATATTAAAATTCGACTTTTGTCCTAAGTAAAATATTCCACATCAGACTTATTGAAATACATATTAAAAAAAATAAAGATACATAGAGAAGATAGTCTGTATAGTATAACATCAAAAAATTTTAATCACGGCCTTTAAAACATTACCAGCGCCATCTACTGATCGCAAATTTAACATGAACGTGTATTCTAGGCGTGAAAGAGACGGCAGATAAGCAAGCCATTGAGGATGCGAAGAGGATGCTCCTTGATGAACTGCACGACCTGAACAACTTTATGAACAAGTTGGATGCTGCTACAGCATCCGGACATTTCGTAAGTCATTTATTTTATTATTACTAATTAATAAAGGCAGCATTTATTTTAATTAGATACACCAAGAAGCTTAAGAAGATACATTTGAAAGTCAAATAAAGTGTGATTTAGTCCTCTAGTGAAGTGATTTGCTTGTGGCGACACATGGTACATTTCAACGGGTGACGTCACAAAAATCCTACATTGCACATGCAAAGTTTACATGCAAATTAACACGGATAGAAAAATCCCAACGAACATCTGTTGGGCAGAAAGCAGGCACGAGCACCTCGCCTGGTCGGAGGATCCTCCTTTTCTGATCTTAGGGAACTATGCTCTCTGTTCCCTAAAGCTCGTTCCAAATTAAAGATTTCTTTCATTCATCCTTAAAGAGGCGCTTTTGAAACGGCAAAGTTGTATGGACCATCAATGAAGTTAGGTACTCGTTTCAGAATGTTAGATTCGTTTGGCTAAGAACGAAGAAGAAACTCTATCGTTAGTCTTTTTATAAACTAAAATTAAATAAACTTTTTATGTTTACACACTATTCTCTATTAAAGGGAAAGGAAAAACCTTCTAGAGGCGTCTAGCTTTTAGGGACAAAGACTATGGATTGCGGGGTCTCCTTAATAAAACCCACCTTGTTAGCACCAAAATAGGGACCACACAGCTCTTGCTCAAGAAGGACATATAATTGATAACCCATATTGGCTGCCAGGTTTCGGACCCGCCGGATGCATGAGAATCTGGCCATCATCATTCGTGTCAGGAACTAAGCACTTATAGGTACTCCTGAACCGCGTCCAACGGCTAAGCCAAAGATAAAACACGACAATGAAGCTGATAATGATTTGTTATTATTTTTTGACCAGGACCGTGAGGGTGCAAAGGATGCGGCAGAGAACATAGCAGACCTCACTACACAGGTGTACTTCTCCTTGGACCCAAAGACGAGGAGACGCAGTGAACTGATCAGGGTTAGTTATACTTTGGAACATTGCTTTTCTTTTGAATAAAAATACATATGTAGGTTTATATTCTGTTACGATTTTGTGGGTGTTGCGGCGTTTTTGGGTCAACAGTACAATAATTATTATTTTAAACCTTTGTAATTGTTGTACACTATGTGATCAGTATGTATTCTATTTGACCACGTAAACACAATTTTATGTGATTCTACCTGACGTACAAGCTGTACATTCAAAGTAAGGAGGAATTTAGTAAAACCACCTATGTTAATAAATCATATGCGAACTCTTGCGCAGCGTTCCCGCAACAAAATGAAGGCAGGCGAGAAATCGGAACAGAGCTTGCGCCGGGCATCATTCTTGGCGGCTGCAAATTCCGCGCAGCACGCACTGGATAGCGCTGTGGAGACGCTGAATGAGGTAAATATGATAATCTACATATCTACATATATATATAAATAAAAATGAATTTCCGTTTGTTAGTCTCGCTAAAACTCAAGCATGGATGAACCGATTTGGCTAATTTGGGTCTTGAAATGTTCGTGGAAGTCCAGGGAAGGTTTAAAAGGTCAGAAAACAATATTTAGGCGGTACGAAGTTAGCCAGGTCAGCTAGTAGACAATATTTTTCACGTGGGAAAGTAATTCGGCAGACACTGCTGGGCCGGCTCACCAGCGAGATACCACGGCCTGGCAAAAACGGTGTGTAACAATCGTATATGTATAGGTAACGGTAACGTTGTGTTTCGCCATGTGAGTTAGGTTATCGGAGGTCTATTCACAATCCGTCAAAAGACCAACAGTGCATTGTTATTGTGATTCGTTTTTATAACATTTTGTTTTTTGTAGGACTATACAGGCCCAAAGCCGGATGCTGCTCAGCGGATGCAGCTGGAGAAGGCTCTCGAGGACAAAATGGGCAAGCTCAATGCTGCCATAGCTCTGTACCTTACTGCACATTCTGGTAAGTAAACTTCGTTAAACTATCATCTGGGGATGTTGATGTCGTAATGGGGAGAGTTTTAAAACAATTATTGCGAACTGAATTATTAGTTTCAAGTTGTATTGTAAGTTTCGGGAGACATACTAAATAAATTATTATGTTTTCGGCTTACTCACGTAATAATTTGACTCAGAACTCGACTAGTTTCAAGCCATGCTAGAGGCTTAAAAACTTACCTACTACATGCTCTTAGATTCTGGACCCATAAATATGAATTTATGAGCAGTATTTCGCGACCCGCGACGTGGCGACTGTTACGCTGCTGGTTCGCGGAATGTAAGTATCAAGTTATAGGGAAACGAACCTCTTAATTGATAGTTTTGAAAGGTCTGTGAATCAAATATGTTAATAATCTGTCGTCTGCTGTATTGAAAGATTAGATTTGAAGAGTATAAATAAACAAAAACTGACAAGAACAATATTTAGCTCAACTTTCCATTTGTTTTTATTTCAGACCCTGAGAACATCGACTACGCCTCTGCTATCAACTCTATGAACGCCATCAACGAACTGATGCCTGAAATAGCCAAAGGTAACGTTAGTTTCAGAGTTTCTAATATAACAGAAAACGCATAAATTGGCACTTTTTATAACAGCAATATTTTCTAAACCAATGAAATCGATCCGAAAACCCTGGCCGTTGAACCAACGAGGCTATCAATCTTTGTAACCAAATATATAATAATGACATCAAACTCCTTCTTGTTTTTATAAATCAGAATACTTATAACCACTGTTATAAATCCCACAGACACACAAATCCTAGCCAGCACATTGGAGCCGTCATCTCGTGAGCAGTTACTGGACGACATGCAGGAGCTGTGTGACGCCACCAGAGCTGTGTGTGGTACCATCAGCGCTGAGGATCATGCGGTCAGTATAGGGAGAGGTGCCATAGATATATTTTTGAATATGACTTTACTAAGGGACTTTTCCCGAAGAGAGAACGTGCCTGGTAACTGTAATACTCTCATAATTACTAGATAGGCACTGTTTATGAAAGTACCTAATATGAGGCACATCTGTTTCCAGACATGTATCTTAAATTATCCCAGGAGTATTTGAGATGAAATAGATCTATCAGTACGTTATTACCGACCGTTGGGACTAGTAAAAAAAAAGAAAAGTTGTTATTAGAATTTTCGAAAATAGAACACCTATTTAGTCCGAAAGCCTTGCTCGGTAGTCGACCAATCCTCATCATGTATTCTGTTCAAATGATAATAGTTATTATCAGTATAAAAATTTATCGACTTTCAGAAAATGCAAGAAGCAACGAATCAGTACGCTGGTATCGCTGGCAAGTTGATATCCACGTTCGCACGAGGAACCAATGCTGATAAGGAACATGAGGTTTGTAACAAAAAATAACATACCTTTCTAATGCGATAAGCCGGTAAACGAGCAGATGGATCACCTAATGGTAAGCAATCGGTGTCGCCAATGGACACCTGGAACATTAGTGGCATTACAAGTGTGTTACCGGTGTTTTCATGGTTGAATCTACTGTAGATCCTGGCTTACGGGAGTTGCAGCGGCTTTAGAAGGTTGTGGCCCGCCACATTACCACGCTACATTTACGGGACAAGCCCGCTTGTCCCGTAAATGGATTTGGGGATTGTTAGAGATTCTTTCATTGGGAAGATTGGGCAAGGATAATTCGCACATCGCCATTCGAGGTTACCGGTAACCTCACTCACATGACGAAACACAACGCAAGAGTTGTTTCACGTCGGTTTTTTGTGAGTTCGTGGTATGGTATCACTCCGGGCGAGCCGGCCCATTCGTGCCGAAGCATGGCTCTTCCACACTTTAAAAACTTACCTACTACATGCTCTTAGATTCTGGACCCATTGTACTATTAATTAGTAAAACAAAATGATAGTTTACTCCCACCCGTGAAATGGCTTGAGGATACTTGACTAGTTTCAAGTCACATTACTAGCCCCCAAACTCCTGAGATTCGGTGCAAATTAGTTTATTGGCGCGACGTGCAATATTCAGTTTATTGTTGCAAAACAGAGAGTTAATGGCATTTAACACATCCAGATAATAGAGCTGGCGAAGGACGTCGGTGCCAAGACGTCACTCCTCCTCGTGTCCACCAACGAGCTGACTTGCCAGGCAGCCTCCGAGCCTGCTGCAGCTGACGTGGACACTGCTGGAGTCAGAGTCGCAGAAGCTGCTACGGATCTTATTGCGTGTGCACAGGTGAGGGTTATAGAGATTATTTGAAACAAGTAATTTGATATTCCCTGATGAGATTTGATCAGGATGTAGGTACTCACTGGATGATTATTGTCAAAATTGAGAATTAGACTCTAGAGTCTAGAGAGATGAACCTATTGCAGTTCTATTGCAGTCGTTTTAACTGCGTCCAAACTGCAATTTGCAGTTAGATTGCAATTGAAATGCAGTTCGTTTGTTTAAAGCCTTATAACAATTTTTATTGTAAGACTTCGGTTGCGGAATACCTAAAAGTATTTGGTATATACTTCTATGAAAATCCATTTGTCTGATTTTCTTATAACTCAAACTACAATATGAAGTCTAGAGTTGGTTTTGGCTAATTAGCTTCCTCTAGGTACACTAACTTTATACGTTATTATAATGTGGCTGTAATTATGTGTCATTTCTAGAAATGAAATGAAATAATTGGATCTATTTTATCCAGAAACTTCTTATATCTCCTGTTCTCACAGCTAACAGCTCCAGCCATCCACGAGCCACACTGCCAGAGCGCACTAACGGCAGCCTGCGAAGGTATCGGCTCGTCCGTCCACCAGCTGGAGACAGCCTGGCGTCCACTACTGGAGGACCAGACCAGGCAGCCCATGAATGACCAGCTGCACTCCAGGGTTGTTGATGTTGGAAAGGCGTTGGAGAGATTGAAGGATGCCTACGCTAATTTGGGAGGTAAGAATAATAATTACAATTTTTTTATTTGGTTTGTGTTCAAATCTTACTAACGGAAATCAATAACTATGTTAATCCCAAATCTGTGGATAAGGAACGATTTGAGATATTCGTTGTTATTAGTGAGTCATCAAAAACAGATTGTATAATATTTTGCCCAACCCAGGAACGGGATTCAACTCCTTTTGCTCGACAGCTAGTACCGTCTTTAACTTAAGGGCACTTGGGGCCCGTGCCCAGGGCCCCCATACTCAGGGGCCAGGGGGCTCTAAAGGATCGACAATTTCTACGACGGACACACACCTGCTTCATTCTTGGTAGCTTTTAATGGTTAACATTTCCGCAAGGAGCAAATACTTTGTGTGCTCGACAAATTGTTGTTTGGTCTAGGTTACAAAAAACATCAAAGGGCCCAGAATTGTTGTGTGCTCAAAGGCCCCAGCGTAGTTTAAAAAGGCCCTGTTCGGCGGCCTCGAGACTACAATTATGTTTTTCATTAAAATGCTTAAAATAATTCACAGGTGTCGATGACGACGACTCGTCACTTCCAGCGCAAGAGCGGAAGCGGCTCAAGTTCATCGCAACCATGAATGGAGCCAAGGGTAGACTACGAGGAGTCGAGGATTTGTGGAACCAGGTGAGTTTATTCACAATAATTATGAATATTCGACTGCACGGCTGTCGCGGTGGTTGGGCAAGTGGCTGTGCGCAACGTGTCGCGGGTTCGATTCCCGCACGGAACAACACTTTGTGTGATGCACAAATATTGTTATTCCGGGTCTGGGTGTCATGTGTATGTGAACTTGCATGTTTGTAAACGCACACACGACACAGGAGAAAATCCTAGTGTGTGACAATGTATTTTTTAAAATATTGTAATGTAGGTCTAATATTATTGAAAGTTATAAATCATATTTATAACTTTCGATACCTATAATGAAAGTTCTTCAGTTCACAACATGCAGTTATAGAATGGGACTAAAACACCTTTTTTACCATTTTTATGACGTAATTAATCTAACACTAGGGCTTTTTCTTCCGTCGTGAATGCATCTTTATGAACATGCTACTCAGAGCTGGAACTAAAAATATCTTGCAAAGAATTGTTAACAACTTTGTAGTAGACTATAAATAATAGTCACAAAACAACTCTGCTTCCATCAACAGACAATAAAAAGCGTAATGTTACGGTGTCACAATAACATAACATCACGCTTTTATCCCCGGAGGGGTAGGTGGAGGTGCACATTACGGCACCTAATGCCAATGTACAATGTAACACCCACTTTTCACTATTCATGTAATGAGTTTCATGTAATACGGGGTGAGCCACGTTTTTACCATATACCGGGCACAATTCCAGACTCTGTGCTACTACTGAGATTTTTTTTAAAACCATTATAATACATTTCTCTATATCTACAAGAAACACAAACCAATGAAATTGCAAGAAATAATACATTTTTTAATCACAAATATTATTAAAAACAAAAAATTAAATCGTAATTAATTTTCAAAAAGTATTTCCATCTACTAGGCCCCGGCGAGATTCGAACTCGCGATCTCCTGTTTACTAGACAGGCGCTTTAACCAACTAAGCCACGGCGCCTCTGACGAAGGGGTCGAAATTATCGACCACTGTCTATGTAGATATACATATACATAAAGATGTACGAGATTGTATAAATAGTCTGTTTATTACATTATTATAATGATAATAATTATGTATCTTATGTACTGATAAGTTATTAATAATGGAGAACTAATGTTATTGATAAAATGGCACTGATTTCGATGTGTAAAAATTGCAAACAATTACTTTTATTGTTATTCCTTATTTACATACGATTTAGTTTAATTTATATAACTTCTTGTCTGTAACCCATGGAAACAGAAATAGATAATTTTCTAGTACTATAAAGTTAATATTTTCATGAAATACTAGATATATGATTTAAAACAAGTGAATAGCTTTGCTAAAGGACTGACAGACATGTTTTAATTTTAGTATTTTTGACGAAGTTCAAATGTGTCTTATTTATTAAAATGCTTTGATTTTGATTGGAGTAAACGTTTTATCGATTTCTTAAATAGATGTGGTTGATGTGAGTGCTATATTTATTGGTATTTCTACCCACCCATTTACGAAATAATGTGGTGTTTATGTCTTGAAACAGTGACATTATGACAATGTGGTCACGAGTCAACTAAGTAATTATAATTATATGCAAAGTATTCGCATAAGTTGTGTATCTATATATACTTATGTACGTACTCATCTGTTATTAAAATAAGTGACCGTATCTGCATACTTTACACAGGTGAATGTTCACTAATATCATCAAGAAAAGTAAACGCGGCGACTTGCCGATTGTCTCTTTCTTTGTGTTATTTATGAAATTTTATAAAAAGCGCCATCTATGTTCAGCAATCGGCGACTGGCGTTCCGTCGGATGCGGAGAAGGCGGAGGCTCAGCGTCGCATGGAGCAGAGCATGGCTCAGCTGAATGCTGCCATCGCTGCACTGGCTGCCGCTACTGCTGGTCAGTATCTTACAGCTTGGCGACCAATGACATTATTGTAGACATTTTACAGATTTGACACTCATAATTAATTGCTTACTTACAACTTTTATAGCACTAGTCACAATACCTGCTTACTAGACATTTGTGTCTACATTAATTTTGCTTTGTTTCTTTGACATTCAGTATATTACTACCTAATCAAATTGTGAGGCAATAGACTAAGACATTATACAGAATCTGAGTTACCTCCATATCAACTTGGTATCATCAATACTATTGCTTTCGACACATATGATACTACTTTCGATGTCATTGTCACTAGATGGACACTTGATCTGACACTCTCTCTGTTTCACAGACCGAGAGAACCCAGACTACGAGACTGCGGAGCTGGCAATAGCAACAATATCAGAGCTGATGCCACAAATAGTACAAGGTGAGGAATTTATCATCATCAATAACTCGCGACCGTCCACAATTTATGTGACCTCTCTGCAAAGAGGGGATTGTCATAATCTTCTCACTCGGAGTTTAAATGGCACGGTTGGTGCGGTGACTAGGCAAGTGGACAATTGGCCGCTGTGCAACGTGTCGCGGGTTCGATTCCCGCATAGAGCAACTCTTTGTGTTCCGGGTTCGGGGGGCATGTGTGTGAACTTGAGAGAAGAAGAACTTGTATGTTTGTAACAACGTTTTTTATTAACTCAAAATCGCGGGTTAATCTCGCAAATATTGAAAAAAGTTCTACTAGTTTCGTATAGTAGGCTGCGCGACCGCACCGCGACCACGCGCGCTGCTCATGAGGAAGAACCCCTCTGTGGTTCGAAACTAGTAGAGCTTTTCTCAGTATTTCACGTGAGTAAAACGCGATTTTTAGTTAATTTAGTATGTCTTACGATACGATAATTATTATAAAAATAAAGTCTTTTTTTTAAAGGGACTAGATTTATCAGACGGTTATTACAAACATGAGAGTACCGAGCAGAGCACTCCATTATCTCTGTCGCTAGCAGTTAAGCTGGGTGTTGGGATGGGTCAGGGTGATCACTCAACCTAACACCAACCGCTTAAACTCTTTTGTGACTATAATTTGCATAATTCATTATCCTTAGACGCAGAGACAGTGAGCTCCGACAAGGACGAGGCGACCCGCAACGCCATGCAGAAGAACATCCGCGCCCTCTGTAACGCTACAAGGAAGATTTGTGAAGGAGACGGCTGTAAACATGTTCGTATTGTAATTAGCTTTATCTTAAAACTAGCGATTCTAGTTCTTATTGTTTGTTTGCTATGCCGATTGTCGATAATTCTTGGTCAAGAAAGAAAATTCTGTACTACATCTATATAAAATGTGTGACGGGAGGATCCCATAGAAAAAATGCTTTAGGATTTTTACAATTAAAATGTCATGAACAATGTGAAGTCACCTTTAAGCTCCGACATGTATTTTATAAGCTACGAATATTTATTTTAAATCTTTTCTAGGTTGATGGTGAAGAAGCTGCTAACTTCGCGGCAGCATCTGGCAAGCTGCTGTTCCTCATTAGTCCAGGAGCTGATAAAGGAAGACAGAAGTTTGTAAGTACTTTTTGACCAACACAGTAGAAGAGTAGAAGGAACAATTAAAAGAGTTACGTAGGAAATGCTTTCAGAAACTTATGGAAGTGACAAAAACGTTGAAACAAAATGGATTAAATTTTACACCTTACACCTTAATTTTTATAGAGTGACTAAGAACGAAATTATGTAATGTACTTGGGCACAAATTAAATAAATATTAGATATGAAATGATCTACTTCGTCGCAGATCATGGAGGAGTCGGCAATAGCACAAGAGCACGCTGCTCAGCTGGTGGCAGGAGCTCACCGGCTGCAGACACAAGTGCCAGAGCACACAGCGGCCGAGCTGGCCCGCCGGGCTGCTCGGACTGCTGACGCTGCTAACGCATTGGGGGCTGTGGCACAGGTAGCTATGGACCTTCTCGTATTTAATTACTTATGTACTCTTGTTGTTATGGGACAAGAAATTAAATAAGTAGACGGATCAAGTGATGATAAGTGATTGGCGTAAATAAAACTAGTATTATATTTAGGAAACCTTTGCAGGTTACTGCTCCAAGCATCTCTTCACCTCGTTGTCAAGACGCTCTCAGCTCTGCAGCTTCTCAGCTCCTGGGGTCTGCGGACTCGTTGACAGCAGTGTGCCAGCTGCAGGCGCACGAGCAGCCGGAGCTGCAGGCGCAGTGTGCAGGCCTAACTGACACACACCAGCAACTCGCGGACAGTCTGCACAGACTCACTGATACCTGCAATGTGGGACAAGGCGGTAAGATTATTATTCATAATGGCTTACTAGTTAAAGGAAAACACGATAATCTTAATAGACATTTGGTGGTTGTTTGTTCAAAGTAGTTTCATAAATAATTATTTTTCTTTTTTATCTAGATACATCTATGACGGAGCCTTCAGCACAACAGGAGAAGAAACGTCTTCAGTTTGTGAAGAGCACGGCAGCAGCCAAACAACGCCTGGACGCTGCAGCTCAACAACTTAACAAGGTCAGTCTCATAATGAAACGGATCCTAGTCATATCTTTAGTCATAATCTTGGCAGTGAGAGATTAAGAAAGCTCGGTTGACCAAAAAATGACGTAATTTGTCAAACAAATTCTTTATTTATGAACTAGCTGTTGCCCGCGACTTCGTCCGCGTAGACTATTAATTTTAGAACTAAACATTTTTTTGTTTCAATTTTCAAAAATAAAAATGGCCTATATTACTCCTCAGTACATCAGCTACCAACGGCAAGTACCAATGTGACTTTTTCCGAGTTATATGTACTTTCTAAGATTATTTAGACACCACTGACAAACGGTGAAGGAAAAACATCGTGAGGAAACCTGAACTTATAATTTCTAATTATAAGTTTGAAATCGCCAACCCGCATTGAGCAAGCGTGGTGATTAATGCCTAACCTAACCTAACCTAACCTTCTCCGTGTGAGAAGAGGCTTTGCTCAGCAGTGGGCATTTATAGGCTGTTGATGATGATGATGACATCAGCTACCTGCCGAGAAAGTCATGCAAAATCTAACCAACAATTCTAGAGATTGGCATCAAACAAAAATTATTTGTTCAGTTTGTGAATATGAAATATGTCTTTCAGCCCTTGAGGTGTCACATGATGGAGGAAGGCCATGCTGCAGCTCTAGGACAGAAGCTCAACGACCGTATAGCTCAGCTCAATGCAGCCGTTGCAGCTCTCGCCGCCGCCACCTCAGGTAATGTACTAGGTGTATGGAAATAGAAATTCTGAAGGTGTTTAAGGTTTTCTTCTTCTGTTCTGATTCAGTGTAGTCACGATAAAGGCTTTATTAAAGTTTAATTTTGGTTCCTCTTTGTCTTTAACGATTTTTTGTTCTCATCGCGATAACTGTTTTCTTTTCCTTTCGACTTTCCTAGTTGCTTCTAAATTTACTAGTTTTAATCGTGGCTTTATCTCCGTCTTGTCCCTTTTTGTAATGTAAGCTGCTAGTTCTAGGCATCTGTTTATTAAGGTTGTCAACTTTTCATAGATCGCGAGAACCCAGACTATGAAGCTGCCGAACGCGCAGTGAACGCCATCTCTCAAATAATGCCACATCTAATACAAGGTTTGTAAAAGAAGATGATAATGAATTGATGTGCTTAAAAAATAAAGTTTCTCTCAATTTGAATTGTTATGAATCAGATTCACAAATGCTATGCGGCACGAAGTCAGACGCGGAGCAGGCGGCCATGTTGCAGGAGCTGCGCGCGCTGTGCGAGGCCACGCAGGAGCTGTGTGAGCACGCGGGACAGGCACAGGTGAAATAAATACACCAACATTTGTTTCAAGGACCTCCATCATGTCTAAGACGTTGACTGCTAAAAATAGGTCTCCTCTAACGAGATCTTGATCGGCCGGTTAGACGGTAATTTTTTTACGGGGGAAAATTGTCGAATGACTTCTCCCGCGTGGGTGCGGCGGAAGGGAGTGTCAGACACTTACTGATTAAAACCACCTTGTTTCTACTCCTGCCTTTCGAGCCGGAGCCCCGGCAACCCGTTAAGTCCTCCGCGGCTCCGTATCGGCATCAGCCCTAATGGGCCCCATCCGTCGTGGTCTGTTGGCTCTTTGTGTCGCGCGAGTCAAGGAACGGAAACTCGGATTTATAATAAAAATAAAATTTATTTAATAAAATCGAGTTACAATGTTTGTTGAGCGAAGTCTGAGAACAGAATGAATTCTAATGGAAATTACAAATAATTATTGGTACAATAAGGGTGTCATATTACTTATTGCGAAAGAGGTAAACGAATGGGTAAGCACAAAATGTTCCAAGAGATTCTACACGTGTTTTATATAATGCTGACTTATATACCTACTAATTATGTTGCTAAGCTGAATTAGTGCTGACAAAGCATATATTTATAGGGTGGGCACCCTTAACTCGCGCGGCCCGCTGGGTGCCGTACGCTCGGGTCTGTTTCTGGTCGGACGACGAGCCACCCATGCTCGCCGTCCGCAGGCCCGCGCTTACGGTGGCCGGAGATAGTCCCGCGATCCCCGACGCCCGGTGTGTCCTTCGCATTGGCTTGGTTGCGAGGAGGCCTCACGCGTCCTGCCTCCTCCTTAGTTGGCATAACTGCTTCGCAAAAAGAGCAGACGGCATCTCAATCCCCCTCGCTCCGCATCATGACCTGCACTAGGCCTGGACGCGAGAGGTCGCCATCGCCGCGGTTAGCAGGGATAAGTCAAGTATTTGTACTGAACTAAGATTTTGTTCCAGGGTGTGGGAGACGCTATTGCCAAGTACACAGACGCTTCGACAAAGTTGGTGTACTGCGCCACACCTCGAGCTGACAATGAGATGGAGAATGAGGTGAGCGTGAGAACTCGTCAATTTGTCTTAACATTAGAGTTCTGATTTTTCGCACGAGAACAGCAAATAACACATTGTTTTTTTTTCCAGATTCTTGGTTTGACAACCGATGCTTGTGGCAAGGCCTCGGAGCTGCTGAGCCAGGTGCAGCAGTTGACGGAGCGCGTGGCAGATGCAGGCGCAGCTGCGGAGCTGGACCGCTGCGGGGCCAGCGCTGCAGATGCTGCGCAGGCCCTGCTTACTGTCGCACAAGTAAGAATATAATGTGATAATGTCCACTGAAGATCACCAAGTTTATAAAAACTGCTTTCAACTTTTCTTATAATGTTTGTTTTCCTTATAGGCTACTGCATCTACCATGGATAGTCCTTGCTGCAAGGATCAGCTGATCTCAGCAGCGCAGAAGCTCCGTCGCTGCGCGGACGAGCTGACGTCGTCGTGCGAGCCTCACACAGCTCGGCTGCCGGACGCACGCCGCCAGCTCGGCACCTCGCACCGACAGCTTGCTGACAGTCTCGACAAACTGGTGCAGGCTTGTCAGAAAATACCAGAAGGTAAGATCAACAGTACAAAAATGGACATAATCTTTGAATTCAAATACTTAAATGATTTACTCTTTTGGGACAGGTTCTCAGAGCGGCGTGTCACAACCTCCAAAGGAGAAGCAGCGACTCAAGTTTATGAACAGCTTGACAGGAGCTAGAAACCGACTCTACGACGCCGAGCAACAGCTCAAACAAGTAAGTTACCACATACACACACACACACACACAGACACATGTAGTATCTTCACTGTTTAACTTGGCTGTGTCGGATTGCCGGAAAGATATATAGGAGATCTTTGATAGTTCTTATTCTATAATTTTTATATTCTTCCTGTAGCCATTGCCAAAGCATCAGCTGAGTCCTGAACAGGCAGCAGCTCTGGAACAGAGGTTGTCGCAGCGCCTGGCGCAGCTCAACGCTGCAGTGGCTGCACTTGCCGCTGCTAAAGCTGGTCAGTATCAAATTTTATATAAGTAATACTAGCTTCAGCCCACGACTTCGTACGCGCAATCCCATTTTCTCCCGTTTCCGTAGGATTTTTAGGATTTTTTTCTGTCATAAGAACCTTCTCATGACAATAAAAAAAAAACACGAAAAAAATCAGCCCAATCGGTCCAGCCGTTCTCAAGTTATGGCGTGACATCGGGAAACTGGTTTCATTTTTATATATATAGATATGCTTATATGTCTTCACATCAGCAGAGAGGTAAAAAGATGGATGAACGACATAAAAAAGGTCGCTGAGAATACCTGGCCAAGGAAAGCCAGAGACAGGGAAGTGTGGAAACAGCTGGAAGAGGCCTATGTGTCACAGGACACGCTGATCACTAAACCGAAACTGATGTGTTAGTTTATAAGTTAGTTTAATTATTACTTTTGTTATTTTAGTTTAGTTCAGCAATAAAGGCTTATTATTATTATTATATGTCTTCACATCACTCACACACACACATCTGACACCTTAGGTGCGCACCTAAGATGTGAAAAAAAGATTTCTATTGATATGGTCTTCTCGGTGGAGACAAATGGGTGTTTGTGGTCAGCGAAACAAATAATTATTTAGATTGGACAAACAAGGAACAGAGATGCTCAGTTTTGATTCAGCAGAAATGTTAAGTTTGATGTAATGGTTTTAGATCCTGAAAACCCTGACTGGAAAACTGCGGAACAGTCTGTGAAGGAGATATCTGAACTGATGCCGCTGATTGTACAAGGTATGATATCACTTGTTTTTTTTACTTTTATCATAACTGTAACTTATCTAGGTCTATTCTTAGTAATATTATAACATCACGCCTTTTATGCCCGAAGGGGTAGGTAGAGGTGCACATTATGGCACATAATTCCACTGTACAATGTAACACCCACTTTTCAGTTCGTACTAGTAGTAGTACTAATGAGGTTTTTTTAAAAACCCAGTAGTACTTGCCCGACCTGGGAATCGAACCCGAGACCTCTTGTCCAGCAGTCGTAATTACGACCACTGGGCCCATGAGGCAGTCAACCAAGTCAAGTATTCTTAGTAATAGTATATCTTAAATAAATATCCTTAATTTGATTTATAGTAAACTATTGGATTACTTCCAGACTCCCGCCAGTTATCGAGCACGAAGGACGGAGCTGGGCAGGCAGCCATGTTGGACGATCTGAAAGCTCTATGCCACGCCAGCCGCAGTCTGTGTGAAAATTCTGAAACTGTAAGTTGATTGATTAGGTTTCCTCAGAACTACGAACTGGTGATACCTATGTAATGAGGTCGCGGAGAACCTAACGGGTAACCGGGGCTCCGGCTCGACGTGCAGGAGAAGGAACGGGGTGGTTTTTAGTCAGTAAGAGTCTGACACTCCCTCCCGCCTCACCCAGGCGGGGGAAGTCATTCGATGATTTTCCCCCCTTAAAAAAAAACCTATGTAATGAGACGTAGGATTGATGAGTGAATTCTAAAATAACGAATTGAATTCTTGATTTATTGATATTATAATATAATGTATTGATGGATTTCTTGATGGTAAATGGATTGATTGATAGATTTATAGATTGATACATGGATTGACTGCTATATTATTAGATTGATAAATAGATCGATTGTGCTTTATAGTCCTGAGTCCTGATCGAGCCTTCACAAGAATAAAACCGAAATGTAAAGGCTCCCAAAATATATTGATGTGATCTCGTCGTCTTTCTTGGACAGTTTGGAGTAGTATGATTCGCACAATTAATTTTACTTAAACTTCAGTGTTTATTATAACTTGTAACCCATTGCTCAATGCAGGATCCTAAAATAAGTACAAAGGAATTCCATAAGGCGGCCAGCAAACTGAAGTTCATTGTGAGCCCTACTGCTGACAAAAGCAAGGAAAAACAGGTAACAATTTTAGTCAAATCTTAAATAACTTTATCAGGTAACGCGTAAATCTGTTAAAGTGCTTCTTAATCGTCGTTTTGTTCCTGTGACAGGAGTAGTATTATTATATTACAATAATTATAACCCGTCTTGCATTTCGGTTGGCCTTTTCGTCTGACTTTATTTCATAAAGCATTTTTTAAGCTCATTTTAAATAATGTATGCCACGGTTAATTGGTGACCTATACGGTCAAATAATATAATTGGGTAGTTTCCAGAGTATCAAAATTAAAAATCTAATTAGTCCGTCAGTTAGATAATGAAAAAACATTAGACACGTATTTTTTTATTTTCTCGTATTAAGTTACAATACTTAGATAAAATGGGGCTAAGGTTAGGAGTCAATGCGTCATAACGTGCTACAAAATGTGGCACGCTGTGACGTCACACGATATTTCAAATTAATATATCGCCGAAAGTATTGAATTTTGTGAGAAAAGAAGAAATACGTGTCTAATGTTTTAATCTCCCAAACGGACATTAAAATAAAATTTATGAAAGTACCCTATTATAAATTACGATTAACATAATTATTTTATCAACTAAATGTTTAAAACAAACTACAGAATTGAATCCCCTCTTTTTTTGAAGTCGGTTAATTAATATATACAAAAAACTTTCTCTTGTAACAAACACTCTTTTAGGAAAACCGCATCCAAATTGGTTCTGCCATTCGCGAGATAATAGCGCTTAAACATATATATACAAATGCATACATACATACAAGTTAAACTGAGAACCTCTTTTTTTGTTTTTGAAGTCGTTTGAAAAACTGAACATACGATTTTTCTGATTTTGTATTGTGTGTAGGTAGTGGAGCTAGCAAAGGCAGCATGCAAGCAGGCTGAACGTCTGGCAGTTAATGCACAGACTGCCTGCCCTGCGCAGGCGCCGCTAGCCTCGAGCCTACATGAGGCCGCTGGCACCTTGGATTCTGTGGTGCAGGTAGGATATATATGCATAGTTTTTGCATTGTCAAACAGATGTAGTATATTCACATTCGGCTTTTCAGCTCCAAAGCAAATTCTTACCAACGATTCTATGAAAAAATATCACTACTTAACTACTAGACTCTTCTTTCTCATTTGCCCACAGGCTACAAGCGCCAGTCCATCAGACCCAAGATGCTGTGCAGCAGTTAACTCGTCAGTAGACAACGTGCGCCACTGTGCACAACAACTGACGTCTTCCTGTGAGCCACCTCTGATGACTCGACCAGAAGCCTGGCAACAACTACTGTCCTGTCAGAGACAACTGACGAATGACCTTGACAAACTCGTTCAGGCTTATCAGCCCGAACATGGCGGTAAGTTTGAAGATACCTATGATTAAAAAGCTACTAAATTTTAAGTCGTATTTAAATATCGCACCATCTCTGTCATTTTATAAAGAACTTGTAGTGGCAGAATTATATTTATACCTATACTTAAAATTCAGTAATGTTTGAGTATTTTAGCGTAAGTCATTTGACAAAATTATGATGGGAAAGGTCTGAGGAAATAATAAACCAGAAATAAATGTAACATGCAGGTACCATTGACACTGGTTCAGGGCAACAAGAACAGCAACGTCTCAAGTTCATCAACAGCGCGTCTGGTGCCAAGGGTCGTTTGAATGCCACCGAACAACTGCTGAAAGAGGTCAGTTCATATCTCAGGCACTATGTATACCTATTGCTGAAGCCATACTCAGGTGTGACGTGGTGGTACAATGTAACGTTGTGTGTCACCAGCCGTTGGTGTGTCAGCTGATGAAGGAAGAAGACGGCGCGGCGCTACAGCGCAGGCTCGGGGCGCGCGTGGCGCAGCTCAACGCTGCCGTGGCCGCGCTCACTGCTGCCACCGCAGGTCTGTGGATACTGCCGCATGTATACTGATACTCCGTAACTCGCAGATGGTACAAACTGTAACT